GCTGACAGCTGTTTCGCACCAAAAAGAAGAATCCGCTGGAAAATTGGCAAAGGTAAGATTACGTATTTTCCAGTATTCTCACACAACCAAAAATATGATTAATTTTAGGTTGTCGATGACGATTCCAAACTAGCCATCTCTCTGAATGTCGCGAACTTCAAACCAGAAGAATTATCAGTCGATTTGGACGGAAAAATTCTCAAGGTACAAGGCAAACAAGAGATCAAGGAAGAAAACGGCTATTCCATGAGGTAAGCTGATTCTTAAAAGGTTTATCACCAATCTAAGTTTCCGAACGAATCTTACTGATCGAGTTTAGGACTTTTGTTCGACAATGGATGCTTCCTGAAAACGTTGATGTGGAACAACTTAAGTCATCTTTGAGTGAAGATGGTCACCTCGCCTTGGAAGCGCCCAGAATCACGAAAAAGTCGCCAGCTTCCAGAAGCATTCAGATAGAGAAAGCGCCCGCTGCCGTAACGGAGAAGGAGAACCATCAGCAATAATTTTTTTTCTCTTTGCATGTCTCGCTTTATATGTATACTGGTCCGTTCAGCTTATGATTATTTGATTGTCTAGCTGTATCAGTCGCATGTTAGATCTTTTTCAGTACGCATTCTTAATAAAGATAACATAATCGAAGTTCGTACATACAGCAAAAAACTCTGACAAACTATCCTAAGCATTGTCACACAACTTGCGAATTGTCGCTGTCAAGAACTACATTTTTGCTGTTGGTCAAATGTCTGAAACTGTGGATTAATCAGAAATCTTGCTTTAAGTGGTCACCACGGAACTGCCAGAACTTTTCTCCCGGAATTTGACCTGAAAAGTAAATGGTCTCGTTATTTTTTCGTGTAGCTCTCTACTTGCAACTGTCCGGTAGAAAAATATTGGAGGACAATTAAAAACGTTTGCAGGCATTGTCCTTCATACGAGGGAATATTGGAGATAATTATTTCATGTCACCAGAACTACAATTAGATACAGTCAACTTTTCAAACATGAGTGGTTTTGATGAGCTTCTCATGAAAAACGGCTGTGAGCTGAAACGGCTGAAAAACGGTAATTAATCTACTAAATTTTTCTATCGTTTCCAGTCATCTACAGTATGGCTGCATTAGATATTCACAAAATGCTAACAAACGCAACTTATCAACTAATCTAACAACTTGCTTAAAGGCAGTGTCCCGACTAAATCTACCCTCCTTGATCAGTGCCGATACTAAATGTGGCCTCAAGGGGCATCTGCGTTTTCGGGTCTTTTAATGTTTTCTCTGAGTGGAAATAATGGACCTGGAACAGCAACAATGCTATCGAGCCACGCCTGAATCATATCAGGCTCCGCCCACGCCAGTACTGAAAGTCGCCGGTGCCTTTGAGATAGAGCCCCCAAAATTCAGGTTCTGATGGGTTTCGTACATTTGAAATTCATAACTGTAATCAGGGCTACGGAAAGGCCCCAAAATGACAAAAATATGGAAAACTAGATTTTTGGGTAGACGCTGCTTTCAAAAAATAAAACTTCGCTTCGGCGATGAACTACGAGATTGCTTTGTTATTTGAAACCTCAAAGTTGCAATCGGAAAACTTGAAGAATTTAATTGAAACACCGTATGCAGACGAACATCTTTGTGCCTCAGTCTATCTACTCGGTCAATGAAGGTGCTGATTAGCTCAA